CCATTAGCCACCAGAGATCTGCTAACAGCTGATGGGTCAGTAGCTACCACAGCTTCACCATTGTTCTGTTGGCTGTTAGCATCTTCAAAGGCATCTTGACAATAATCATGTGTGATGGAAGTGAACAGATAGTTTTCACTGAGGGGACAGATTACAATCTGGTCCTCATGCAGAAGGGATGTCTTCTTCTTGGGAAATTGGGCCTCATCTAATTTTTCATCTTCAGCTGGAATACAACAATCAGCTGTGACACCACCTTGGCTCCCAGCCTGGCTATCAGATACCACTGGGCTACCACTGTAGTGTCTGACCATTACATCCTCAGTGCTGTCTGCCAATGCTTCCTGGGTAGTCAAAAGGCTGTCACATGGAGCTGATGAATGAGTCTGAACATTACAGTATGGATGATCAAAGTGACCAACTGTATTATCATTTTGTAAATCACAGTCACCAGCTATTTCAGTTGAATCTATGGCATAGCCATGTGTCTCACTGCTGCTAACAGTATGGTCGGCTGGTAGAACAACGGACTCTTCTCTTGGAATTTCAATCTCTCCTCCAGTGCAGTCCAGTGATTTAACGGACAGTCCATTAGCACGTTTTTCTGAACCACGTGTTGTCTCAGATAAAGCCTTAATGACAGGATCAACACCACCATCATGGCTACAGTATGGATGATCAGCATGTTCCTCTTGACACTGCTGGTCAAAGTCACCGAAGCAGTTGGTCAAATTTATACTGTCATACTCTAGAGGAGCACCAAGCTCTTCCTTGGGCAGAGGAATGGTTTCGTTGTGTAATCTGGTGGCATCTGAAACTTCCACCTCACCTCCATCACGAAGGAAGGATTTCCAAGTGAGATCTGCCTTTCCACTGCAGTCACTCTGAAAAGCTGTTGATTCTTCTGTGGCTTGTTTGTTATCCAGATCACAAGAAGCCGGTGTAGTGCTGTCAGTTTCACAGGGAAGTGCTGCGCTGATGTTAACAGAGTAAGTGTCACTCTTCTCGAGAACATGATAGGGATGTTCGATGTGATCAGAGCATGACTCCATTACCACACTGTCAGAGATGATGCTATCTTCAGATTCAGTGTTAGATGTACCCTGGTCCGTAGATAAAATAATACTCTCCTCTGCATGCAGTAAAGAGCCTAATATCTCAACTTCACCACCAGCACAAGTGAAGGATTTAAATGTTATATCTGAAAGTCCACAAGCAATCTGAGTAGTTGTTGTATCAGTTTTTGGAAGATTGGTTTGTATCATTTTGGTGGATGGAGAAGAGTACAGCTGGGGTTCTTGTTCACTCAGTGGAAGATCACCCTATTAATGAAAATAAGTAGAGGTTAAAAAACAGCACCACAAAAAGAGAAAAAAAGACAGATTATATTTGTAAGTATTAGTGTATACCCACCATTGTCATTTTGCCAGCATCGCTACTGATCTGTGATTTTGATCTGAACTTCGATGAGGGAGTCGACAATTGCAGAATCTCATTGTCCAGACTTCTCAGAGGGGTACGCTCGCTGGATCGGCTGGAGAGCTACCATCAACAAAGGTTGAATTATCCATTAACTAATATGCTCAGAGATAACACTGTACAGTATGCACAACAGAATACAAAAGTCTTACCAAGCCTTCCCCTGTGGAACTTGAACTCCTGGAAGCCATTACTCTGAAGTTCTCAGAAAACTACGTTTACAACTGGAGGACAAAATCAGGAAGACAAAAGATTTCATATTTTACCAGTTTGATTTAAATGCGGATTAATCTATTTGGCTGTAAAAACCAATAGCTCCGCATTAAAATAGTTGGTTTTCCATGCGAGTGCTAAAACAGGGTCTTGCTCCTCATACTAAAGAATTATGTGACTTCAAGGCAAGTTACGAAAGACAAACCCCAGTTCTCCTTGACTGCAAAAACTTTCCGGAATTTAATCACGATCACGAGACTTCAACAGTTTGTATAAGACAAGTTAGTCGGAACTTTTTAAACATTTCGTTTGTGCAGAGAGTCTGTTACGTTCAAATTAGCCCCATCATGACCCCTTGTGTGGATGTTGTCTTCTTGTTATGAAGGTTTCTTCCGGGGCAGAAACAAAAGGAAAGACGATTACAGCAAACAACCATGTTGCAGAGTTTAACTGTTGTTTTACGATAGACAATGTGAGAATGTTCTTTAAAATCCTGCACACAGATCTGCTTGTCGTGTCAAACTAGCTGAGAAGCTCACATACTGACATGGCGTTACGTATTGGCCTAGTTGACAAGAATAGGCCATTTCAAGCATTAATTTAATAACTTCGAAAATCAATGTGAGAATTCACAGAATTCTAAAATTCACAGAAAGTGTTGCTAAGAGTGAATATTGCAAGGGCGTAAACTACAGATAAGAGACCGGTACCAGTCGATAGCTAACCGTAAATTGCACTCACTCTAGTTACTTCTAATAAAGGCACTTAATTAATAGCTTAGCTGCCCGAGGCAAACGCCCTTAAATCATGTAAAAGTATTTTACCTTTTAAATTTTACCAGCTAACGTCAACCAGCGTTTTAACAGAGACGAGGACAGGGTAAACAAATCTTGTATTGAACTACCATCGACCGCGTTTGATTCAAAAACACGAATAGCAGCGCTGTTATTGGTCCATTTCTCTTCTTCGTTGGTTGAGAGAAGCACTAGATGGTTGAGATCTGTACCTTTACTCACTGCTGCCTCCTTCGGGAAAATAATGTAACTGCTACAGCATGTTCCTGTTGCTGACAGAAAATTTACACTTTTATGTTGGCTCTTAAGTATCTTTGTTTTTTGTATTGTTTTGTTTTATGTCAGCGTTTTATTAAAACTTCGTGTCTGCATAAAAAAATAATATCTGACTCTTCAGTTATTTCCACTGCCTTCTTATATATTGCTTTACCAGCTGGAAGCCATGTAGTTACATGGAAAAATGACCCATAAATCACCCTTTTTTGGGAAACAAGTGTAGGAGCAGAGAGTGATACGTATGCTCCATGAGTCTGGACAATGACGCAGTTTTGTTTAGCTTTGGTGTCTACCAAACCAGCCATCCACCCAAACAATATTTCAGTTCTTCTTTTAGCTGCATCCCACCATCTGCCTAGCATCGTCTTCTGTGTCATCAACAATGACCGCTCTGCAGTCAGAGTCAAAATAAGCTTTATTGTCAAAGACCATATGTACAGTCATACAAAGGAATCTGAAACTGCAATGTTCCCATGGCCCTCAGTGTACACTAAAACAATATAAAGATAAAAAGATAAAAATAAAATAGGAGTCTTATGTACAACACAATGCAATACAATACAATCTTATATAAACAGCAGTGTGCAACACAATCATAGTGATTGTGGGTAAGTTTCGGGGGGCTGGGGGGCGCAGTCAGTGAAAAGGCAATGGTGGTGGTTTGGGGGTGGAGGGTTCAGAAGCAAGAGGTGAATGCAGGTCTGGAGTTCGTGTATGTGAGCATGGAGTGAATTCAGCATCCTGACAGCCCGATGGACGAAGCTGTGTCTCAGCACGGAGGCTCTTCAGTCTCCTTCCTGATGGCAGCAAACTGAAGAAGTTATTGGACGGATGAGTGGAGTCACCTGTAATGCAGTGAAAATGACGGCCCCAACACCAACAGCGTTTTATAGGGTTTTTTTTATTTGCGCTGGTTTTTCACTTGACAACTTTCCAGCTGCCCTGCTTGTAGCACACACAACCATACACCTCAGGTCCTGGCACATCTTTTACAGGGGAGACGTGATCAGTTGATGGAGCTCAGGTGTGTGTCAGCCTCCTCTGACACGGCACCCTGAACCCCCTTCTCCACCCCTCCCCTGCAGCTGAGCCACAAACCACACCCTGCCACAATAACATTTTTGCTTTAAATACAGTTAATAACATGCATCAAGCAGACAAATGTTTTTAAAGCCTTATTTTGGGATAAAGTCACATTTTAAGTGTCTTTCTCATATTTGATTGGTGACGTTATACATGCAACTTTTATGATGTGGTGACTGCAGAAAATCAATATGATAATTCTTCCAGTAGTGTTTGAATGCACCACATGGCCCGGGCATTTCTGTGTGGAGTTTGCATCTTCTCCCTACAACTGCCTGATGGATGGCCTAGATTTTCAGTGTTTCACATTTTTCGGCTGAAGTCGTTCCACCATGAACTCAAGTGCCCTCACACAGCTCTGCATAAAACACCACAAATCACTTTCATGCAGTGTGTTTTTTTTCCTCTCTTAGATCTGTATTATACAATATTGGAAAAGTCTGTCAAAATGGCACTGAAAGATTAGAAGTGTCTTGAGATTATTGTGTGAATCTACAATGTAAAATACACACTTTTATAAATACTTAGCAAGAAGCTAAGGGGATAATAAAGTACAGAGAAGCAGGAACAGATCAATTAGGGGGGAGGTAATAGAAGCCTGATGAAAGGGAGGAACAAATAAATCATGACATTACAAGATGTCAGTGGTCAGACTAAAGTGGGGTCCCTCCACATCATATAAAGAGCCATGGACCCTTTTTCCTACTGTGCTTCTACTGTCCTTGCTCACTGATTAAGTCATGAATCTTTCTGTTGAATCATTTGTTGACTCTTCCTGTCCCACGAGGGCCTTCTTGAGAGTGTTTATGAATCTTATGAGGCTCTGTGGCCCGTTTCATTGCCCAAAGACAATTATAAAACAACACAGCCTCCTTTCCACTAATGTATCCTAATAACACATAAATTAAAGGACTGTCTCTCGAGAAAACAAGAAGAGCTAGCAGCTAACCCACTCCAAGGCTAACCGTTTGCAAAAAGAAGAAAGAAAATAAATTAAACTGTTTGTGCAACTACTTACATTTTTTTCCAATTTGTAAATACTTTTTAAAGACAAACAGAAAAAAAGGGGCATTTGTTTTTTAAGTAAATATCTTATTTAATTATCCAATACAACTTTGAATATACAATGCCTCATTATTCTTCTGTCTGATTTTAAGTAAGCCAATATGATTTACAAATAAAAGTTTGCCAGCAAAGAATTTAGATTGAAATACCAAAAAGAAAGGAACAAACAAGAGGGTGTTTTTGTGTCACATGAAAGGCTCCTCTCTTCAGCTCAAAATCCATCAATGAAAAAGTTTCTCATACTGAAGCAATGTGCGGCTCTACAGGTTTTACCTGCAGCACCTCTGCAAAGCCTTGTCCAAACCAGCAGGTAATGTCAGCCGTGTCAAGGGTGAAGAAAAAGAGTCTGTCCTTGCAGCGAGTCCTCCTGTAGACGGATCGGGGGTCTGCTGACAGGACCCCTCTGATGGCAGCGACTGCCTCCTCTGTACTGCGCAGAAACTTAAACTGGGGTCTGTGGCTTTCAGACAGTCCTGTGTGTTACACAAGCTTGTTTTTCAGTCTCTCTGCTCACATATGAATGAAGGCTTTCACATTAATTACTGATACAACAGTGCCCCCTTATGGAGACAAACATACAGTGCATCTGGAAAGTATTCACAGCGCTTCACTTGTTCCACATTGTGTCATCTTACAGGCTTATTCCAAAATGGATTAAATTCATTTCCAACTCAAAATTCTACACACAAACCACCATGATGACCAAGTGAAACAAAATGCTTGAAAAATAAAAAACAAATATATAGCATGTACATAAGTTATCACAGCCTTTGCCATGAAACTCAAAATTAACCTCAGATTCCACTGATCATCTGTCAGATGTTTCTACAGCTTGACTGGATATGATTTAGAAAGGCACACACCTGTCCACATGCCGTAAGGTACTATAGTTGTTGGTGGATGTCAGAGCACAAACCAAGCCACAGAAAGATTTCTGCAGCATTAAAAGGTTCCAGTGAGCACAGTGAGCTCATCATGCGTAAATGGAAGAAGTGTGGAACCACCAGGACTCTTCCTACAGCTGACCGCACGGCCTTCCTGGGTAATCAGAGCAGAAGGGCCTTAGTCAGGGAGGTGTCCAAGAACCTGACTGTCACTCCTACAGAGCTCCAGTGTTGCTCTGTGGAGAGAGGAGGACTTTCCAAAAGGACAGACATTTCTGCAGCATGAGACTTATATGGTGGAGTGTCCAAAGGGAAGCCAGTCTTCAAAGGCTGATGACAGCCCACATGGAGTTGCCCAAAGATGCCTAAAAGACTCTCAGACATTGTGCACCGTCACTCTCCATTCAACCTGACAGAGCTTGTGGGGCACTGCAAAGAAGAACTGGAAGAAACTGTCCCCAAATAGGTGTACCAATCATGTAGCATCATACTCAAAAAGACCCGAAGCTGCCAAAGGTGCTTCGACAAAGTATTGAGTAAAGGCTATGAATACTTATGAACACTTTTGTTTTTTATTTTTAATAAATGTAGTTAATTTCTGAATTAATTTAATGAATTGCAAGCCAACGTTTATCCCTTTGTCATCACAGGGTATTGTGTGTACAATTTTCAGGTGAAAACTGAATTGAGTCCATTTTATAATAAGTCTGTAACAAAATATGAAAACAGTGAAGCGCTGTGAATACTTTCCAGGTGCGCTGCATCTCCCATGATCTCAGTCATCTTACCTGACAGGTGTGCAGGGATGAATTCTGCCAGCTCCCTCTCCGCGTGAAGGCTGAATCGCACATCCAGACTTGCGACAGGAGGCTCTCTGATCCAGCCTGCGATCGTAGTGTAGGCTTCCTCTCCGTAGCAGGGATGGTCTACTTCCAACAAAGGTGGTTTAGTTTTAGGAGAGTCTGAACCTCGGTTCTTACTCTCAGAACTTAAGAAAACGTCTTGGTTCACAAAAGCCTTGACCTCCTCCAGCACATTACTGAGGTCTTTGGACAGAGAAAACTGAGCACTGATATGAGATGAACCTGTTGTGTTAGTATTCGTTTTTTCTTCTGGGAGGAGATTCCCCACATAATCACTCGCTGCTCCTCGATCTTCTGTGTTTAACTGCACATCTATGTCTGATCCTTCAGGGAGGTTAGTGAGGTTTCTCTTGTCGTCATTCATTTGGTCAGTGTTTGAATTGCAGGGCTCTGAGTCCTCCTCATAGCTCCTCCGGGTGTTGGGGGAGTCATACTCTGGGATATAGGGTTTGATGTCCAGGACTGGGGTGCCTGCAATCATATCAATGTCTGACAGGTGTAGAGTATCACCTAGAAAATAAAGAAATGCATTCATATTCATATACAGCTAAAACATCAACAAAACTAGGTCAGAGTTTAACCAGAGTCTGCTTAAAATAGTGAGATTTAACAAGTGTAACTATTAGTACAAGTGGAAAATTACCCTGTGCTTCAGACAGGGTTCAAGCAACAAATCAGTGCAGCTCCCTCAGAAAAATAACTCAGCTCAGATCAGTACACACACACACACACACACACGTGTTTAGTGACACTGACCGTGTATTTTGTCAAGCTTTGCCAGTGTTAGGCCCAACGCATTCGGTCGATGAGGACTGCGTGTCGAGTACACACCGACTCTCTGCCCGTTCAGCCTGGGCGGCCTCACTTTGGCTTTGTAGCTCAGGTGGCCGTTTTTGTGGAAGAGAAAAATTATCCTGCAGAGGCCAGATGACAAAGAAAGGCAGATGATGGGAAATAGTGTTTACGTGTACATGCTTAGTTAAAATGAGTAAAAAAATATCTTGCGAGTTGGGTAACAATATTTGGTAACGTGTTGTACACAAACACACACACGAAACCTACCAAACATGGGAGTATTGCTCCAGGCCCACCAGAGCGTGCTCCGGGTTGTTGAAGACACTCGGCTGAATTCGAAGTTCTGCCCTTGAAGGGCCACAAATAGTGGGCTGCCGGGGAGTCCCGTTCTTCACAGAAAAACAGGAACTAATGTAACCAATTGGGACCGTTTGGATGTCCCCTGCAAATGATAAGAATATTAGGGTCAGGTTTTGTAACACAGACACTGTGTCTAACTTGGCCTCCAATTTATCCTTTGTACTCACTTTTATTCCACAAGTGTGTTTTGTTATTTATTTTATATATATATATATATATATATATTTTTTTTTTTATTTTTTTATTTATTTATTTATTTATTAAATATTTATTTATAATATAAATCACTGTTTTCCTGTAAAAACATCTCAGTCTCTTATTCTAGTGTACTACCTTTAAGTATTTGTAGGTAAATATATTTAGATTGTAATTTCAAGTAAAATACACTGAAATTCCATTTAATTGCAGGGAAATTGCGCCCTTATTTGCGGGCTGTTACTTTTTTTTGGTGGAGGGAGGGCTTAGTTTTTGTAATTACAAATGTTTGTGACGCTGGTGGTAGCTACCTCGCTCTAATGCTGCTGGCGACGGTGGTGAAGGTGGTGTAGGTGCTGGAGCTTTAACTTCTTCGCTGAGTCCAATCTTCGACACAGCAGCCTGAACCGCCAGCAGCTGTTTGCGATGAGCTCTAATTGCACTGTCTAGCGACTGCCTGTTAGACAAGATGTTGAGAATGAGCGTGTAATAATAATGGGAACCCTGAAAAATACTAAAAATAAAAAAGGCCAATGCAAAACAGAACACGGCGTTTAATTTGTTTAATTCTTGAAATAGCAAGAAGTCTCTCGTGAGAAAAACACGTGGCGGTGCAAAACCTACATACCTCAGGTTCTTGATTTCTTTTCGCATCACAGAAACCTGCTGGTTCAGTTTATCCATGTGCTCGGAGCAGCACTCACACAGCAGACTCATCTTACTAACACAAAGACAAAAGACAGCTCTGAAACGGTGAGCTTTTAGCGGCTGTTGTTGCTGCTGAGACCGGAGAGACTTTGTCAACGCGGAAGTGCATGCTAGACTTTATTGTTGGCCAACCAAGAGTGCTGCACGCGTTAAACTGAAACAGGTCGGCTCCTCTGAATCCCCTCTGTAAGTCTGTCATTGCTGTGGGTTCGTTGGTTTGGGATTATTTTTGCTGCCGTTTCGCTTAAATTACCCGTCCATCATTTAAAAATAATATGTAGTTACATGTGCTGCACAAAACACGCCATGATGAAGGAATGTTTTCTACCAACAGGGGGCAGCAAAGACACGTTTACAGTCTGCTTTTTAAATAAATAAATATTGGCAAACCATAGCACAAACGAAATCAATGTAATGTCGTATATACTTAGTTGTGTTGTCTTTATTGGTACATGTGCATATCCTGCATTTGTCTAGCCCTGAATGGACTAGTTGTTCAACAGGTTTGGCTGTACACAATTAAAAAAAAAATGTATTGTAATTTTAGGTATTTGAAGTTAACCTCCCCTCAACACCTACAGGGGATCATTGCAGCTTAAGCACTAATGAATCTTTCGAAATCACTAACTAAAGACTTGTATATTAATATTACACTAACATATGTACAGTCACTGATCACTTTCTTAGATATACTTGTTCAACTTGGCAGCAACTCAGTCCATTAGGCATGCAGATGTGAATAAGATGACCTGCTGAAGTTGAAACTAAGCATAAGAATTAGAAAGAAAGTTGATCTAAGAGTGACTTTTGGTGCCAGACGATTTGGTGTTTTAAAGAGAATGGTCCAAATGAGTGGTAGTTTAAACAAAACTAGCTTTATTGGTCGCATACACAATCATACAGAGTACAGGGAAATGTGTCGTGTCCGAGCTGTGGACAGGCTGGAGACATAGCCGCGCCATTCCAGGGCTTGGTGTTTGACATGGGGGGCCTAGCGAGGACCCTTACTAGACACTGGGAGGGAATCAAACTTGCGACCTCAGCTCCAAAGATGTGTGGTCTTACCACCACACTATCCAGTGTAGGATATGCCTTATTGATGGCAGAATGTCCACAGGAGCATATAGGAAGTCAACAAGGCAACACATAACCACTGGTTACAAACAAGATATGCAGAAAAGCATTTCTTGAACCTTGAACTATAGGCTACAGCAGCGGAAGACCACATCTAAGTTAAGAACAAATGGCTGAGGCTACAATTTGCAACAAATAAGGCGATAGTTAATCATTAGTGAAAATGTCTTGATGCATGCTCAATCACCCAGGAAGAGAAATCCCAACAAGTTGATTCTGTTCATCTGGACGTCGTGTTTTCAGTGGGAGAAGTTTTCAGAGACTGAAGAAGTCACTTGGATGAGAGACAAAACATTTCTCCAACTGAAAACACGACGTCCAGATGAACAGAATCAACCTGTCAATTTTTTTATTTTTTTATTTTTTTGTTGCATCCTTAAATCAGCTGATTTACAAAAGTAAATCATACCAGGTCACAAAGCTCAGATCATCTCAACCTGGATTGTTGAACACTGTTGTCGAATATTAAAACTCTTCACTACATACACTCATTCAGCACTATGAAAAATTGGGGAAAATGTTGCCTGATCTGATGAGTCTCAATTACTTCTGCAACATTTAGATGTTAGGGCCAGAATTTGGATCCATCCTACCTTGTATCAGTGATTCAGGATGTTTGTGGTTTAATGGTGTGGAGGATATTTTTCATACAATTTGGTCAACTGAGCATCATCTATACAGCCTACCCAACTACTGCTGCTGACCATGTCGACCCCTTTATGACTACACTGTACCCATCTTCTGTTGGCTACCTCCAGTAGGATATCATAATCTCACAAAGCTCAGATCATCTCAACCTGGTTTACTGAACAACACAGTGAGTTCCATTTACTCAAATGGCCTCCATAGTCATTCAATCCAGTAGCGCATCTTTCAACTTTTTCTGTCATTTTTCTAATTAATCAGTTATTACAGCTTTTACGAGTACCTTTTCCATCTCTTTATGTAGTACAAATGAGTAAATTATAAGCACTACCAGTAGCCACTTGCAGATAGGGCTAAATGTTTCACTACACGTGTCTCAACCGATAAGCCACAGATTAAATCTACAGATATGCTGTTCAAACTGTAGACCAAACATCATTTAATTTCACTCACCAGAGAGGAGAGATGTCATATGTGAACAAAATGGTACATAATTATTTCATTTAATGAAAATCGAGTTAATTCTAACTGCATGTGGATGTCTTTCTCAGTCGATGACTCCTATAATAACGACTACTGTTAAATGATGCAGAAATGACTTTTATTAGATGAATAGTAACTTTTACAAAATTCTGTAAAAATAAATCCACAATTATGAATACATAATTACCAGCGATTTATACCCTTAACTTTTAAATAAAGGCCAGTGAAACTGGTTGCATACTAAATTGAAAGTATATAAAAAAAAAGATCATAAGCTTTGCAGTGAAGCACAACCAAAATAAATAAGCATACAGCTTTGGTTTGAATTCATACATCTTTCAAATAAGCAATGACTTGCCTCATCCTGTGTGTGCACACTACACAAAAAAAGAAGAAAACAGAAACCAACTGTGACGAGGCTTTGTATATATAAAGCAATATCTTAACAGTGCATTTCAGAAAAAAAGTTGCAGTTAATTTCCTGGAAAATATTCCTGAGCCATAGGCTGAGCAGAGACAGTTGGAACTGAGTACACGTTATTTTGTTCAGGCACGTTGATCGAAAGTGTTTCACTCAAATCTAAAAAAAAAAAAAAAAAAAAAAAGACAGATAATTTAATAATTATTAAACCTTTCGAACCAGACAATGTTTCAAAGTATTGTTTTAGTGTATTTTTACAACATACAAACCTTCATTAGCGCGTTTGTTGCCTTGTGATGGAGAGACGTCCTCCTCCTCATCTGGGCCTAAGTCCTCAATCAGGACCTGGCCTGGGGCCTCCTTGCCTTGTGACTCTGTATAGAGGGTCTCCACTTGGGGAGGAGCTGAGGGAGGAGCAGGAGTTACAGCTGGAACAGAGTCTAGGGACTGAGCTGGGACTAAGACGGCATCTGGAGCAGGAGCTGAATCTTGGACGGGAACTGGAGCAGCAAAAGCCAGAGTCGAAGCAGGAGCAGAATTCTGCACAAACTCGAACACTGCTGCAGGAGCAGGAGCAGCAAGGATTGAAGCTGGTTGTGATTCCAGCCCAAACAGCGGAGGCAGAGAGCCGGTTATTTGGTCCTGAATGACCACAGCGGGTTCAGGTACCACCACGACTGCAGGAGTTTCCTGAAGTGCTTCAACTTCTTCCTGAACAGCAGACAGCTGCGGTGTGGGTTCAGTCTTCCTGGGCCTCCCTCTCTTCTTTGCACCACTCTTGTCCTCAGCTCTTGATCTTTTCCGTTGGCTCTCCACCCTGAGAGAGCACCGCAATTAACTTAAACAACAGTGGACATTGAAACAGGTCTTTGTGACAGTTTTGCAAAGCTAATAGTACAAAGTCCTTGACCCAGATCTGGGAAAGCAAAGGTTGCTCTGCTTTTTCTATTGACGCCACGTCAATAGAAAAAGCAGAGCAACCTTTGCTTTCCTCTTGCTCCATATTCAATATAAACCAGAGGAGTGATAAGCAGCCAGAGTGCTGATAGTGTTTTCAGCATGTACTGTACTGTACAGTGTTTCAACGCGGGCTACTAAACTTTTCTGGCTAGGACCACCACTTTCTTCTACTGCACTTAAGTGCTGAAATTTGTCGATTTCTCCAAGAGCATAGAGGTAAACATAGGCAGCAGCGCTAACACTGTCTGTGCTTTTACTACAAATTTACCCAAAAACCCACTGGTTAGTTTCCTTCTCTTCTGCTTCGGCCTTTCTCTTCCTGAGAAGGTCCCTGTCTCGCAATCGGCGACGGATCCCACCTTTGAAACAAAGAGCCGTGCACAGAAATCATTTTCATATGGTGCATTAGAAATTCAAAGACAAACTGCATGACTGGGTAATGTGCTTGACTCGTGACAATGTAGACTTTCTTCTCCTAGCTACACACTGGCAAACTTTGAAAACAGACAGATTTGTGATATTACCTAAATGTTGATCAAAGGTCTGTATCTGAGTTAACCAATAGGATCGCAGTGTATGCAAAGACATAACCAGCTCCTTCAGCATTTTGGTGTGGAAATGCTCGAGCAGCCAATTTCCAAAGTAGAGATTAATCTTTAAAGAAATCCTACCTTCCTCCTCATTTGGATTTTTATATTCCAACTCTAGTTTCTCTTGTTGCGACGTGTCCTCCATTCTGAGTCCTGCTATGAATGAATTCAACTCATTGAAGGCGGGCAAGCGCAAAAAAGACGACAGAATAACTTCTGACAGTTTTCTATTCCCACCCCTAGACGAATTATCTGGTTAACCATTACCACAGTGCAGGGAGAGTTCTTGCAACTTTGGTCTTATCATATTTGTAAAGCTGGAGGAGTTGGCACAAAACTGACAGACAGAGCGGGGAAGACAACAGCAGGTTGTGTGTGTGTGTGTGTGTGTGTGTGTGTGTGTGTGTGTGTGTGTGTAGGGTAACAAATATATATGTTGTACTAGAGCTCTTCAGCAGCTGATCTAAAGGCACTGCTGTAGCTTAACAAGAGCAAGACTTTTTTGGACAGTTTCTCAATTAGGGGTCCAATACATGTGAAGTTATTAAGTTTTGAATATGATATCAAGAAAAAACAAAAAAGCTCAAAATATTTCTGTAGAAAATTCATAATATTAATCCACAAATCATAAGAAATATGCCTTTTTGGTAGGTAAACCACACTACGGACCAAACAAAATTCCTGTCTTCGTCCACAGTTGGGGCATATACCCATCTTATCGCTCAGATGGCAAGTTGCTCAGTTGGGTTGCGTTCGTAATCTTCTAACAACACATTGAGCCCTGATGTATGTGTGTGTGTGTGTGTGTTTGAGACACTCAGAGAGAGAGAGAGGGAGAAAAGAGCTATCCAGTAGAGTAAATAACACTCAACTGCCAATTGCTCCCAGCACTGTGGAGGGAAATGTTGAAAGCTCTCTTTCTAAATGTACTGATTTCTGCATGAAGGTGCTCGTAATGCACTCACTTTTCAACGTCATATGAAGAGAATCTATACAGACATTCTGCACCGGTGGAAGCTATGAGTGCTAAGAAGTGAGTGAAAACATATATGTTTAAGTATTGGTTTTCACACACTCGAATTAAAATCACAAAACACAATCATCCAAACCTTCCAGCATAGTTCCAGCAGTTCAAAAGATCCCAAACTGCACATAGTTAGCTCCTCAGCTAATAAAACTCCAACTGACACATTAATAAACCCCCTCCAGCATTACTGTTACAGCCAAAAGCAGACAGGGCTGTCATTCACACACAGCCCCACTGTTGCACAATGAAATGTGAGGAATGTCAGTGTAGATATTACAGTGCCATCTTCTGGCATTGCTTCTCAACTACCAAACACTGATTTAAAAACAGTGTCTGTGTGTATATATACACTGTGCCTTTAACAAGCATGTGGCCAGAGTTAGGGTATTTGCATTGGTTCCCCTCAGCACACTATGCAAACACATCTTGCTAACATTTATACATTTGTTATATTTACTAGACTTAAAACAGGCTATAATTTGATATGCATTTATAGTATTAAAGCTTATTCACTGATTAATTTAGAATAAAACAGAAAAAACTACAACCATAGTAGATTTTCTACTTCAACGCTGGAGAGTGTCAGGAAGTAAAGAGGAGGGGTTGTGTGGGGTACCCTACCCGTCCATATGTGTATATACAATGCTCTCTTTAAGGCAAACCACATATAGCCCTACTTTTTAGCGGTTGGGGGTAGGAATGAGCCATTTAGTAGCCAAGAAACAACACAATTTTATTTTTATTTTTTTATTACAATGTAAAAAAGTATCGAACATTCACAAGAGCCAACACACACATATACATTTTTTAAACAGGCATACGTTATGATAGTTACCTCATAATTACACTGCTTGTCTGTTGACTATAAAGCAGTAATGCATTCGAGATTTCCTGTGACACTTTTAAATGAAGAATAACAAAGTTCACCATGTGACCTACTTTATCGCCGTTTAATTGCTTGGTTGCTTATTTGTTTTGCATACGCTACACGCGTCTGTTCGTGCACATCCTTCGCTGAATAAAACCGACTTCTCAAAGAAAAACCCCGCCGTCTTCACTGAACGACACAGTACAGTAATTTCCTTGCACAAAATAAATTGCACCATAGCACCGTTTCGGGGCAGCGTCATGTTTTGTGACTGCAATGCCTTTTTTTCAGAGGCGATGGGCGTTTCTGGACGCAGATGGCGCTGTTGAGCATATATTTTGTTTCAGTCCCGTTTCCCTCCATGGTTTCCCCTCTCTCCGACTAACTTAGCGTTTGGCTCAGTTCATTATACAGTCCTATATTCTCCCTCCATTAGGGCATCTCTGCCTTTGGACTGAAGATCCCAGCAAAACCCCGAGGAGAAAAGTTTAACTTTCATAGGGCAAAATGGACATGAAAAAGAGGATCCACTTGGAGCTAAGAAACAGGACACCGTCTGATGTGAGTCGTGCTTTTTTTTTAAAACCAACCCTTAGTTTTCAGGCTAGCCCCTGCTAGCCTAGCTTGCTACTTTTTTTGCTTTGCGAGTGACCCTGTGTGGCTAACGTAATGGTGACCACATGGGCTTTAGATTGTGTTTCTCATTTATAACGGGGCGGAAAACAGTCGCATAACAAGCCAGAGCCTTTATGCTGGTTAGGATTGGGCGTATAGGGGCAACGAGACGAGAAAAGCTATATTCAGTCGTTACTTTGAAACGGCGATTCCCCCCAGCTTGCTGGCATTATTGCAGTGCTTTAACCGTTTCGCAGCCTCCCTAGTCAATGGTGCACACACACGATTCAGCTCCACTCCACCGTTGTAGCACAATTAGTAAACTTCTTTTTGCGCCTATATGAGGAGAAAGCAGTTTACTGTGCTGCGTTCGGCATTCACAGAGCGGTATATTTTATACAGACCTTGGAAGCCATGTTTGCTGCTAGCATAACTGCTTAAAAAAACGGAGCTTTTTTGTGTAATAATTGCAAAATGACTTTAAACTCTGGTGCTGAACAACAAACGAGTTTTGTAAACGTTAAACGGGCCGTCGCAGATCATGAGTCGTATGTTCACATTTCTGTGGAGTATACGTCTACATCAAACGGCCACAAAGATTCAGGCAGCGACAACAAAAAACACTTGGTTCACGAGTCATCCGTACCTTAAACCGCTAATGGTGAAAATACACCGCAACTCCAAAACCTTAGAGCCGGGAGACACTCAACAAACAGCCAACCGCTGCTGTTGGTGCTGATTTGTTTAAAGACACGTTGCAATCTGTAAGTTTTTAAAGGGAGTGTACATCCATTAATTCCCTCATTAATTCTTCTCTAGTTGTGCACAAAGCTATAGTATCACTTATCATCCGTGCATCGTCTTAAAGACGACGACGATGAAGATTCGCATGCTTATTGAATGAAGCCTGATGGTCCGGGGTTTCAGAACCATTCAGACTACCAGCCAGCTAACTTGGTATTAGGTTCCCGCCATATTACCCCCTTCTCGCTACCGGTCAAAGACAACAAAATCTATCCAGTTGTAAAGTAAAAACACCAAACACGACTACAATGTGCTCCAGTAATCGTTACTATTGTTAAACTTGGCGCTTGCTACCACACAGATGCATGTGTTGGCCAGCGGCTTCATTGACCGAGCCAGGCTGCTCGAATGACACGGAGATCCGGCGCACCGCGCTTCATGCGTGGGCAGCCAAAAGCTCCCCGCTCGGCGTTCCCCCTCGTATCATGCACGAAATGAAATCAATTTAACACCGAAAAACCACTTTCGGTTATATGTAAATAACGCTTATTGCTCATTCTTAATAGCACTTTCCGCCATTGAAGCGTTCGAAGGACTGCATACTGTAGCTCAGGAATCGCCATGTTGTCATTCTGTCGTCTTTGAAGCTCTGGGAGAAAGGAACTGTCTCCATCTTTGTTTTTTACTAAATTTCCGTTCTCAATATATTTCCTTCGCCACTTCGACCTGAAAGCGATGCTGTACCCTCTAACAAACTGCCAATATCGGTCGTTTGCTCGACGACAAGGAATATTCCACTTCCCCCATGAAAGCTGGTTTAACGAAAGAAAAAAAGAATCTCTTTACTAAGGGTGTATTCGCAATCCTTTCCGTTGCTGTTGGGTTGGCTAATGGCGGGCAGACAGA